TTGACAGCTGGCTGTCAAACGCACCCCTCCTTCCCAAGTCGGCGTGGGGCTTGGGCTCCAGGAAGGAGGGGTGTGCTTGACAGCTGGCTGTCAAATACACCCCTCCTTCCAAAGTCGGCATGGGGCTTGGGCTCCGGGAAGGAGGGGTGCGCTTGACATCTGGCTGTCAAACACACCCCTCCTTCCCAAGTCGGCGCGGGCTCCATTCTGCTCAGAGCCCAGGCCCTGCGCTGGCTTGGAAAGGAGGGGTGTGTTTGACAGCCAGCTGTCACCCAAACCCCTCCTTCCCAAGCTGACGCAGGGCCATGTCTGGGATTTTCTGAATTGTGTGTGAACGGCAAATATGTATCCAGGATGCACTTTAATGGAAGCGCGATAATTGCGCGATGATGCTGGTTGCGACTGATAGTCATTTACATATTGTGTGGGCTCTTTGGGCTCATTTAGGTATAGTACTGGATTTATTCTTATTACGGTTACTTTTCGCTTCGTGGCCAGCGTGTGATAAGGTCCATAGAGTTGGAAGAAATCCCAAGGGCCATCCAGTCCAATCCCCTGCCATGCCAGAAGATACAATCAAAGCACTCCTGACAGATGGCAATCCAGGCTCTGCTGAAAAGCCTCCAAAGAAGGCTCTTACCATCCATCCAGCTCCAAAAAACTCTTATCATCAGGAAGTTCTTCCTAATATTTTGGTGGAATCTCTTTTCCTGTAGTTTGAATCCATTGCTCCAGATCCTATTTTCTAGAGCTGCATAGACATAAGTAGTAGACAAAGTGTACCTTTCATTACCTTAGTTTGTTCTCTTTATTTCCTAACAGATAAGCACTCCATCTTCCTGCACACTTGTCATTACTGTGTCATTCCCTGAGCATCCTCTCTCTACTCCCTTTAAAAGAAAAAAATTTTTTTTGGTAGAACTGAAATCTTATACACCACATGGCTTTCTATATCCTTTTTAAAGAACATTTGGTCAAGGCTGACAGTTTACTTTTTGGTGCTCAGAACAGAATCACAATTCTTGTTATAAAACATTTAAAAGCAATAATTTCTGCAGACTTAACCTCATGGATTTTTCTAATACTGTTAAATTAATTAA